GAATTTTGTTTTTAACCGAAAACTATTTCTCAGCCTTGGGGTATTCAAACTCCTTTTATAAAAATCGAATCACATAAGTACCATGGCTTGAGTCATTAACTAAAGTACTTGAAATAACAACATTTTTTGAAGTTTCCATTCCTTGTATTACCTCCCAGACGAGGTATTCTTCTATAATCGACTTTTGACTCACACATACACCACAGATTTAGCCTCTGGAAAATTCACCAACTGTTGTTATAGACTCGCCAACTTGTGACGCTGAAGATGGAATAATCTATCTTAAGCCTAGAAACTACTGATTTATTAAAAATTATATTTATCACATGCACTGGGTTAGGATGGGGGCTAGAACAAATTGTCGCATCATTCCTAACCCGAACTCGAACTGGATAAATATACTGATATTTTATTGTAAAACGTGGCGTTTTTTCTCGAATCTCACATCTTTGCATTAGTGGTGGGGTCTTTGTACCAAAGAAACCTGTATTCAAGTATACTTCACCACCAATGCGACATACATACTTTTACACAATTCTGACCAAAGCAAATTGAATAATTTACAAAATATTTTAAAGAATCGCAAGCTAGAACAAAACACAATTTATATCAATATCTTTCGTTGAAAAAGGTTTTTTAAATATGGATTTTGGAATAGGAAGGTATTGTAGATTTTCGTAGCGAACCTAGCTTACTGATTGATTCACCAACTACCACGGTACTGATTTCCGTTATATACGTTCATGAAAAGATAGTCACAGCTATAATGAATTCCCCTAAGAGATTTTTAGGAGTAGTGATGGACACGGTTACATAGATAAATCACCAATGTTTACGTCATACCTATGAACAACCAGCAACCAGCCACCATTGGATACGCAAAATTATCGTTAAAAAGCGGTCTATGGTCATATTGTCATACCTGCAGAAAACGATGTAGATTAATCAAATTGCTTCAAAATCTAGCGCAAACAGAATTGTACATTTTTATACAAATGCCAACTACTATACCAACCGGTTGTCCTGTCTGAAGTCTTTGCAGATTCTGCGACGCGTATCTGCGCTTCACAATAACGACTTTTACAAGCTTTGATGAAATTAAATACCCTCCATAACTGGTTGTTTTTTCGTGTAATATTTATATCAGAACATAATATGAAGTTTTAGAAGAAATTTCAAATCAGATAAATCAAATATTTATAATACGTTCTGTGCATGCTAGCATAGTAACTTGGAATGGCTGCAATTTGACGCTAGTTGCGACAGATTTGTTAGGGACAACTTGCAAATTGTCGATCCGTGCAGAGTGAGGAAACTTTTTATTTGAGTTGCTAGTTGCCGATAGCCTCGTGCGATGCTAATTCCACGATTCAAGTGCGGGTGAAATGTTTGGTCACGACGAATAACACGGATTTTGAATTTGATAAAACATGCCGATTATTTAATACACATGTGTTTTTCATAACGCTATTTTGATATTTTTCTGAAAATTGGAATATGATTATAATTATTTTTCCACTTTATGACTGTCTGGCGCATACTTGATATTATAAAACTGTATTAAAACGAGAGATAATCCATAAAGTTTAAAACTGTTATTTCGAAATTCAGAATCGTCTTTTCCCAGAACCCAAGTAAACAACACTTAATGCTACGTGACATTGTATGGTATAGGTAGCTGAGAATGCCAAACCACATACCGCTCACCACGACACACGTTGTTATTTGAATAAATTGAAAACACGAACTTGCTCATTAGAAGGGAATTATCATTTTTATTTATTTAAATTTAATTGTCCGTTGTTAAACTTTGAATCTCAGATTGATTTGACCAAAAATTTCAGATAAATATTTGATGCTGCTACCAATAAATCTTTAACGAACAATTAGAAATTGCAAAATATTTAACAGTAATTATGAATCTCAAGGTCACATCGAGTTTTATTTTCAACCGAAAATATTTCTCAGCCTTGGGGTATTCGAACTCCTTTTATAAAAATCTTACCACATAAGCGCCATGAATTTAGTCACTAACTAAAAATTTTAAAATACTGAAATTATTGACAAACAAAAATCTTTGAAGTTTCTATTCCTTGAATTACGTATACGACGAGGTATTCTGCTATAATTGGACTCGCACATACACATACACCACAGAATTAGCCTCGAGAAATTTCACCCATTGTTGTTTTGGCTTTTCTTATGACCCTGACTTGTAAACTTGTGTTGCTGGAGATTGAATAATCTATTTTAAGCCTGGAAACTACCAATTTATCAACCAATTAATCTACCGATTACATTTAACACGTGCACATGGTTAGGATGGGGGGTAGGAACTCAGATAGCGCAAGAAATTCAAATTATGAAATCATTCCGAACCCTAACTGGATAATTACTCAATTTTGTGGAACTAAAACGTGGCGTTTTTTTTTTTATCAATTCTAACATTTTTTCAATAGTGGGGTCTTTGTACAAAAGATTCTTATATTTTAGTATTAATCACCACCAATGCGACACACTATACCTACTTTTACACAATTCTGACCAAAGTATTTTAAACAATCGCGAGCCAGAACAAAACACATTATATATCAATATCTTTCGTTATGAAAAAGATTTTATGGTTTTTGGAATAGAAAAATATTGTAGATTTTCGTAGCAAACCTAGCTTACTGATAGATTCACCAACTACCACGGCGACTCATTTTCGTTACATACGTTCATGAAAAGATAGTCATAACTAAGAAATCCCCCTAAGGGATTAGTTACATGTGAGTCATGATGGACACGGTTACATAGATAAATCACCAATGCTTACGTCATACCTACGAGAAACCAGCAACAAAATTGAGGGTTCAAAATATGATACGTAAAAGTATCGATAAAAAGCGGTCTATGATCATATTGTCATATATGCAGAAAACGATATAGCGTAATCAAATTGCTCTAGGATCTAGCGCAAGCAGAACTGTACATATTTGTACTAATGGCATTTTAGGAAAGGTTTAATTCATTAATATGCTATGCTATAAATATATACATGCTAATATGCTATAATTACAGAAAATAATAAAGAATATTTTAAGACTATTTGCACTCAGGTAACTTCATCAAGTTTCAGTGCCATATGAACTTGAATATTTGAATAATATACATATACGTATCATAATCAGCATCCCGATAGATTGAAAAGTATAGATATAATGTACATGCTGACCATTTGCGTAAAGAGAAACGAATAACACAATGAAAAGTAAATTATTCCACTTATTTATTTGAATCAATGTACAAATAACAAATAGAAAGCAGGAGTGAATGAAAAAATTGGATCGTTTGATTTGTATATGCGTGCCAGCTAACACTGTTAAAAAAATTAGTAAATATACTAATTTTTCTAGTAAATTTTTACTAATTTTCCGTTGAATTTTACTTTCTACAAGAGTATTTTATTGAAATCACGTGACTTGCTTAGCTGAGCCAATCAGGGTGCTTGTTTGTTAATAGTTTACTAATGAATAGTAATTTCACTGATCAGTTAGTAATTAATATAACAGAAAAATAGTAAAAAGATTAGTATACTTGGAAAAAGTAAAAAAATCTAAGATCCTCTAATTTACGAGTAACTATTCTTTCCAATAAACGAATTTATCTACCTACGCATGCGATATAGTCACGAAGCACATTTAAATACTCCTTTAGAATTTCATCTAAATTTTGCTCTGGGTATTAATTTGAAATGATTTTATTCTAAAATTAATTTGGTTCATCACCCAAAAATTCTGATTGTTTTGCTATTGCATTAGACAAGATAAGATATTGTTTTTATATATTATTTTTCCGGAAGTAAGCGGACCTACTTGTTCAAATATTCATCCGCAAAAACTCCACGAAGCAGGTTGCGTGCGCAGCATTTTTTATTTCGAATTTCCTTGTGCCGCCCATCTCGGCTGGGACGCTAAGCTGTTTGGGAGCTCAGCAACGGTTGCGTGCGTATGAAAACTGAATGCGGTACGTATGTTAAGTATGCAACAGCGCGAGTCTGAGTTTGATGATTGTGTTAGTAACGGTCTGTACGGTAGGTGCGGATTTACCACGGGTAGTGGTCTGATTATTGAGGTACCGGTACTGGTACTTTTTGCAGAGATCAAAGTTTCCTATATTTTAATCCTTCTCTTTACCGTCATAGGTCATTTAGTACCGGTAATGTGCCAATTATGACATCACTCAAATGTCACGTGCCTGTAGCCCGCGCTTTTTCTGTTTCAGGAATTAGGACTCGGTAAGCGAGGCTCTTTGTCGTTAGTGGATGTTTATTTTAGGCGGTTGGTTTTTGTAGCTTTTCATGCGTTAATTGAGCATGTTTGTGTTACAGTAGTAGACTTGTAGTTGGTAGACCAAAATATTCTTTAAATACCGTGTACATCAGCATCTAATGGTACCGGTACCGTACCTGTATACAGCGACATGCTTACACACTGCGTTAGTTTCGCCGTGTTACCGGTATCTATCGACGACCAAGAGTAAAAATCTGAATTGGCTGTTTCAGTATTTGTTTCGGAATAGATGTAACTTACCGGTAGCCTATGGTGATATGATACGTTCAAACGTTACAAGTCAGTGGCAACAATAGGTACGGTAGGCCTACCGGTAACAGACAGATGAATTCAACTATAGCTACAAAGTCTACAAGGCGGCCATCTTGGTCGGAACGTATTTGGCGCTTTCACAATTTACACTGTATTGTATACATATCCTAATACTTTTAGAACATTTTATTCTTCACAGTAAAATGACGTGATTTCGAATCTCGATTCGAGAGCTCAAAATGAACCAGAACGATTTTAGTCATTTCATATTTGATTCATGAAAAATCTTACAATATGGGGGACCGATCCTTTTCCAAGCAGGCTGTAATTTAATGTTACTTTCATCTCTCTTCAGTCTTGCAATCTCTCTTCAGGAACAAATTATGTAACTAATCGCAAGGTAGATGACCCAACCTCTATGAAATTACCAGTACTTAGTGTCATTCAATCAGAAAGTGGATCACTAACTCAGGCATTATTATTTAGGACATTGAAATAGTCAACCAATAAGAAAATTTCTGAATTTATAAGTTCTTCAAAATCGGAATCAAAGAGTCTGAAAACTAAATTACCAAAATCGACTGGGGTGGTCACGTTGATCGCCTATTATTTCGGAGAGGACCTAAACCAAATATTTAAGTGTTTCCAGGTATGTTCTATGCTTTTTTTGTGTGAAGTGCTTTTTTTTGAAAGTTTTCGCATCAAGAGTAATGTAACTTCTGCACAACACTGTTCGTATAAAGTTTTGTGAGCCGACTGCAAATTCATTGGAAACTAACTACATGATAGTGGTTAACGGAATTTTTTGCATATTTATTCACTAATTTGCCTATTTTCAGAAAGAAACCCCTTTTTTCCCAGATATTAGAAGATATTCCAAAATCGCCATTTATTGCTTGCATAGGTAAGTGTTAGAGGTGAGCGATGTAATTGTGAATATCAGGAACAACTTCGAAATATGATATGATAGCTGTTTTCCTGTGATTAATTCTGCAACTTTTTCAAAGGCCATTTTGTGTCGCCATATACTTCTCAGTTGTGATTATTATAAAATAATATCACCAGCTTCTGTCATGCAACCTTCTTTAACTGTTGCGTCACAGTATGCATTGCTTGAAATATGAAATATAATATTTCTGAAAGAACGTAATGCGCATCAATGTAATAAGTTCTCCCTTCGTTTTATCAGTGTTACTTACGCTTGCTATCAACGGTGAGTGAAAATAAGAACAAATCCATGTCTGCTATGTTAGATATATAGCCAAAGCCAATTTTGAGATGATCGTACTATTATACAATTAATAATTGTGTAATTGCATATTATCAAAAAATCACTAATCGTCCACCTCTAGTAAGTGTATTTGTTATTAGTTGGCTTTAGAAGTTGAGATAATAAGATTAATCAACCTGTCAAGTGACTTTCACTTTATTCCTAAGCCTATAGATTCGAAGCTAAAATTTACAATCTTGTTTCAGGTAACACGGTAGCGACTGCTGAGACTTTTTACGTCATCGCTGAACGAGAAGTGGTGTGTTCCTGTAGATCGTTTTTTGAAGCGGTAGCTTTTCAGTTTGCTTCGTTCTATGTTTTCAACATAGAATATCCAAAGAAGGCCTTGCTGACGTTTTATTCAGAAGTAAGAAAAAATGTGCTAGTCTACAGTGCTGATATAATTCTTGCTGTTGGCACAATGTACACGTTGTTGACGAATTACCTGTTACTTCTGTCATGTAGTGTTATTTGATGACGTACAATACAAAAAATGGGATGTGAAAATGAAATATGTTTCTGGACTTGCACAAACTCATGGTGTCCATACCCTGTGGACTGGGCCATAAGTAGGGCTGGGAATAATTTAATTAGTTAAACAGTTTTTAGGTGGTTAATAATAGTCATGATTTATTTTAACCATTCATCGGTACGGTACCGATTAATGGTTAAAATAAATCATGACTGACTGGCGGTACCACACATGTTTCCTCCTAATCTAATATGTTTTACATCCATATACAACAATCCTATTTTAGTGAACTTCAATTTCAAACGATGTCACTGTGCTCTCCATTTTGTAGCAGAAAATTCTTGATATATTTGCAAAAAATCATTACTAATGACAGAAATTAATACAATATTTTTCAATTGCTGCATTTGCAATCGAATGTCAACGAGCGGATGAGCCTATTGCGATTTGCGACAACTGGGGGCTAGGAGGATCTGGAGCTTTCTGGTTTGGCAATTGCATTCCTGGCCCACTGACAGTTTTTTGTTTATCCCTTGGCAAGGCACGATACATTATAAATACCTGACATTTTTACTATTTTTGTCCAGTGTTTGTGTTTTTACTATTTTGGTGGTGAGCTGACAGGACTTTTCCAAATTTCATATGTGAAACCTATTCGCCATTTAAGATTGGCCTTTTTTCAGGTTCTTCGGTGACATAAACCCCAGAGGCACTAAGTCGAAAAAAGTAAAGGCAAAGACGTTCATGCAAAAGTAATCGGCCTTGCAAGAAGAGTGAATCTATCACAGGCGTTATATGTGCCGTTGTTAGAAATTGATGTTTAAGTAAACTTTGGTGGTGTTACTGCAGCTTACATCACTTTTGACCAGGGGTGAAAACTCGATCAAATTTTTACATGCCTTTGATTGAGTTTCTCAAGTTCGAGTTCATTACCGAGTTCGCAGCCCTGCTTTTGGCTGATCGATTAATTTGATAAAAAATGATTTAGCTGTGTGTTGGGTGTGAAGTCTGGATAATTTTAAACAAACTCTGCTCCGTGATCTTCTTCAACCACAAAATTTCTGGCTTCCACTCATGACTATCAACTCCCACATTTGCAAATATATGACTTCGTCTCCTGCTCAAGACTCCTTCAAAATATGAATTAAAACTCTTGACTCCCTGATCTTTTAAGATTTGACTGCTGCTATGCTAGCTGCTTTAGTGTAACTTTTTGTCCAGTTTTATCAATTTTAACATTTTCGAATTTGCAACTTCTGCAAACTCTGCTCTTAGCTCATGAGCTTAAAAAATGTCCAGTCAAACTCTATTCATAAGTGTGGATAAACTCCGACTATGATTAACTCTATAAACTCTGCAAGCTTCAAAATTTAGAACCCCCACTCATGCTCCTACCAAAATCCTCAAACTCCCGCTCTTCGACTTCACGCCCCTTGAAATCTTATCCTGAAAATTATCTTGCATAATTAATTTTAGAATTTGTCATCTTTGAAACTCTTGCCATAGCTACAAAATAGGTTGCATGATATTTCCCAAAATTTTCATTTTGAAACATTATAATTAGAGTAAAGTGCAAAAAATCGTGAAATTCTTACAATAGTCTCGTTATTATGTCACGTTTGCCAGCGTCTCATAGCCTGGTATCCAGAAATTTGATTTCAAAATAAGTTTGTCAACTAAACAACCCAGTCCTAAAACGTTTTCTTGTTTGACTTTATTTGGATCTATTGAGAAAATAAATAGACCTCAAATGTATAGACCAGATTTCTAACAAGTGCCGATAGAAACTCAATTTTGATCCATTACATACAGAATTCCTATGTTCTACAAGAACTTGTGCCCTCATTTTATTGCATGGATAGCCTTCAACGTCTCCTAATAGGTGTTTAAATTTGACTGTAGACCATATATTTTCTGAAATTTCTTTCGAAACTGTTTTACAGGCCGTAAAGGCATTCAGTGAGTATTTATGGTTTTATAAAAATATCAATTGTAATGAAATGATTTTCGTTTCCAGAATTTCGTTTTTTTATTTTAACTGTGATATTCTGTGTGTTTACTGTTGTGTCGTGCCAGTAAATAGCATTGCTACTCTCGTAGTGGTTCGGTCATCGCGAGTGAGAAATCACCATCATGCTAGTATTGTATGGTACTACTGTCGGGTAAGGTAGCTGCCATCGAGATAGTAATTTTATTTACTATTTTAAGGTAAAAATATTACTACTGGTGGGTAGGTTTACTGCCGTCAAAAAAGTATTTTTTACAGTTTTATAGTAATTTTTGCTACCATCAATCTCTGTAAATTTACTGAAAATACTGTTTATAATACTACTGATAGGGCCTGTAAATTTTTTTACATGGGCCAGTACTTTTGCTGCCATTTTTTTTTAGTAAATTTGGAAAATTTTTTTTAACAGTGAATCAAACAAGCGCTAATCCGTGCTTTACAATAACAAAAACACCTGATCGGTCTGCTGCGAAAGCAAATTTTTAATGATTTATGTGGATGAATAGTTATTACATTAACACTTTCCTTTGTTTTTATTTTAAAAAGGCTATTCACCACTTTGAAGAGCTATGTAAAGGTTATTATGATATGATTTGTTCAATCTGTATAGGTGGTACAAATCGATCCTACATATCTAGTTCTTTTTCAGGTCTAATGTCGTAAAATGAATATAAATGTGGATCATAAGTAGGGCTGGGCATTTTCGAATACCTGGTGATTTCAGAATTGAATCGAATATTTTTTTTGAATCGAGTTGAATCTCGAATACTTGGGAATTATATAATTGTATGTAACTTTCTTCTTGTATTGGGTCCTCCAGACACATAAATTACTGGAAACGTAAAATACATCACTCAGACAGATTGCTGAGCGTTCACGCACAATAAAAACACGTTTTCATCAATAACTCACTACAGAAAATATATGTCAGAATGGCATTGAAAAAATATGGCTTCAATATGAAAAATTGAGAAATTTACCTTGAAAATTGGCAGAAAGGAAAAAAAACAAGATGGCGGCGATTCGAAATTTTGCTCTGAACCGATTCGAATAATTTACTATTCAATTCGAATATTCGATTCAAAATACCCACCCTTAGTCATAAGTTGACATGAATGATATTTGCAAAAACATCGTGATGCGACCAAATTTAAAATATTTGCTATAGACCTAATTTTTTGGAAAACTCAATCATTCGATTTCTAGCACATTTAACAGTCACGTCCTTCAAAATCATTTGACATGCTCACACAGATTAAAGGTACTGGCTTAGACTTACGCCTAATTCAGAAAAAGTTTCTAAGTCATAAATTTTCCGCATCAGCGAATCTCTAATCAGTGCCGTTTGTAATATTGACGGCTGTAACGGCAACGCCACATAAGCTCATGAGTAAAAAATCGACTACCAACCGGGATTAAGCTATTTTGTTTTTTTTTCAAAACATGTTTACAACAATTTTTAGGTTCCAATAAATTGACTAAGCCATGTCGGACCAAATTTATATCACGTAATACATTTGTTTAAACTTACTTCTCTATGATAAATTAATGTTCTCCGTATCGCGCGGGTCCAATTTGTGTATGCAAACGCAGATATTAGGTCAATAAAGTTTTCTTACCAACATACATGTCACAATTCTCTCATACGCTTTACATGAGATATGAATCAAAACAATGAACGGACAAAATACGATTTCAAATTTCTTTGTGGATAAATGGTGTGTACAAAGGTTGAAAGTTTACAAGATTTACAGGATTTTCAATATCAGGGTTTAAATACCTCTTTAAAATTTCAGAGCCCATGGTTGAAATAAAGTTGTTCCCGAAAAAATTATTCGCTGAAAACCTAAGCTCATGATTAAAACAGTCACATGAGCAAAATTTATCAGAATGCAAAAAAAAAACGAAAATAGCAAAACGAACAAATGATCTCATTAGCATATATTCAAGTATTTGTTGAGTTCGTTCTAGTTGAGTGCAATGAGAGTAAGAGTGTCAACACTCTATGTTACCTAAATTTCAGATATTTTTTCCAATATTACAACTTTATTTTCTTGAAATTTAGCAACAAATATATTTCTGTATCAGTTAATATAATGATTGAAACTAAAATCTGAACTAAAGTACTATGGCTACTTGATGTTGAACAAGTAAAACCAATGACCAGTTGAAATTTAAAGCAAATAATTGAAAGCTGCATGTGCCGAATACATACTATCTAAAATCACAACTATTACACCGATTTATTAGGTTGTTTCATCTACCTGCTAACGTTGGCGATAAAAATTTATTCCAATTTTATTCAAATTAAATCGTCGCCAACGATGGTTTTTAGTTTTATTTAGGAATCTAGAATCTGCAATATTTTAAATTATTACTACTCACTTAATAATAAAGTCATACATCTATAACAATTACATTTGTCATCCCCAAAAAATAACCAGCATTTGCACATTTCAAGGGGAGGAATGTTACCCAGTATTATAGAAAAATATTGAGCAATATAAAATAGTTTAGTACAATATAAACTCAAAAGCACCTTACCACATTCCTAACTCCCGCCTGAAATGTCTGAACTTTTGTGCAATACTTTTTATCAGTCTTTCAGTGTGTATGTGATATAGGAACGTTACGTTTCAACCTCATTAGAAATAATTGAACCATTTATAACCAACCAGTCAAACATAAAAAAACATAAATAGAATTGTTGCAGAAACTTCCACTGTCTGACGAAGTCATGCGTAAAGAGGGTGGAAGTACAACGTAAAGAGATTAACCTTATAGTGTTAATATCGTGACATGACAACACCTAAAAATAAATCGTAAAATAACCAAATTTGATAGAGTTTTTTTTAAGAGTTTTCGCAAAGTTGAATCCACAAAACAACTTCATCGACCCCCGGACAACTATCATAATTATTGCTTTAAAAATGGGACTGTTAACGCATTGGTAAAATTCCAGATATTACAAAGTATTTGTTATATTTGTTTTAATTTTTACCAGCAAAGAATTGAAATATTGAGCAATGGCACATAATGTATTTACACATTTAAAATTTTACAAAGAAGCGATAGATATGCTAAATGTTATTAAATTTCAAACAGGCTCTTTTCTATCAATAGAAAAACTTGTATTTAAACAAATACAGTAAAATTTATTGGGGTTAAAAGCACAGGCTGTAAAACTAAGCTTGCATTCTTCTACATGCTGACTTGCGCATATTTCGTAAAACAATTTATAAGTTCTCATGAAATATTCGATGGAATCGATTGTAAAGTTTGCATTGAAATGATATGAGAACGTAAATCCATGAGCGATAATAAACTTAAGTTTGCGAATTTAATAAAAAGATGTCTCTCATATTCGTTCCGAGTTTGAAATAAGTACACGCGTGAAGACTGAATTACAAATTTGGTAAACGAATGTTGAACCTAATCAATTTCCCAATGTGTGTAAAAAACGTGTAACATTTAAATCACATGGCTTGAAGTATATCCTTGAACCAATTTGTATTCAAAATATTCAGTTTTACAATGAATGGAACTTTTGTGTATAATTTGTTTGGGGTAATTAGTAGTGGGAAGGAAAAACTTTCATTATTCTAGTAATTTAATCTAACTTCAAATGAAAAAAGTTAGGTGAGATGCTAGGTACTGCTGCTACTGACAATGAAAACTTCGAGACAGACTCATGAAATTTTGCGCTAAATATATATTGGCAGCTATCGATTACATGTATATTACATATCTCAATTAGCATTCCTTTCCTTGGTGTAGTATTTTCCTATTCTGTCACGAACGAATTTAATATGCAAAGTCACAAATGCCTTCGAACTCGAAATATTTGAAGTCCACAATATCCTACTGTGTTACTACACTACCTACCAGTAAACTATTTTTAAGTGTGATAAAACGTTACTGTTCTTTATTGCGATAAACCCTCATCAGCTATTCTAACAACTTTCTAACACTAAAAAATTGTAATATTCTTACGAAAAAATACGTTCTATTTATAAATATCAAACGTTATATATGTATTTATACCTAAGCGACTAAAATATATTGATAAGCCAAGGCACTGCGGTGGTTACCAAGTTTAAAGTGCACAAGAACACAAGCCTGGAATAGATCAGAAAGCATGGTTGCAATGACGACTATGCACTGACTTAACCTGCCTTCATATTTCATATAAAGAATGAGATATATTTAGGAATTTTGGCCTTGACAAAAGCAACATTCCGAAAATCAATAGAATTAAACAAATAAATAGTAATGTTGCGAGTTTACTGTTGGAATTTGAAATTACAGTACCCAATTTCCGAAAATGAATTTAAGTATAATTAGGGTCTTCAGATGTGAACTTTGAAATATTATTCTACAACGTATAATGTAAGAAATTGAATAAAAATTTGGAAAATACTGTTTATACATACATTGAATCTTCAACATGTATTGTATGTGTGAAGATAACTATGGTAAAAATGGTATATTTGAGGGTTTTCTGGCAATTCAGAGATATATTGGATGATACATAAAGTCAAATATCCAGTTTCATAGGTCACATAAATAACTCAGGGTTAATATATACTCAATTTTCTATGTCATTTCAGCAAAACAACTCAATTTGGATCAGCTCTGATAACAATCTGAGTTGAATAAGATGTTCGTAATCAAACATACTAGTGATAATTTTCGACTGTCAATTTATATGCTTTCTCTTTTATTCACGTAAATATATATTCGTAATTGTATGTACGCACATGATAAAAACTTCCGTACGATCTAAACTCAATAACAATATTTAGATATAATATTGCCTGTATCAGACTCTTACTGAAATCGGTGAACCCTTGCCTGCTGTTCAAATAGGAATTGTGTATGTG